CACACACACACACACGCACGCACGCACGCACGCACGCACGCACACACACACGCACACACACACACACACACCACTAAATACGTGTAATAAAACAGTTTTTAAGATCCACTTTAATTGTAATCATTAAAAAAAGTTAGTGCTGATTCATTAATAGTGACTGATGTACCATATTAAAATGAGACGTAACTAATAGGGAAAGACAAGGAAGAACTTTATGTAATCCCTTTGCAACTCTACGAATCTAAACTATTGCAAAGTAAAAGGTTATTTGTATTATTGTTATTTTTAGGATGGTCTAAAACACTTTGCTATGTCTCTTCCTGTTGACCTCAGGGAAGTCTCCCTTAAGTGTTTACACTTTCATCAATTCACAGGTCAGCCGGTCAGTTGGAAACCATGTCCTCCATTATGCCCATTTGCCTGACTTCTTCCATTTATCTACCTATGTGGCCCCTTGGGAGCCATCCCAGTCTATGGCAGCTGGCTGTTTTTAAGGACAGAGGAGGCACAGAAAAGACACCTGTCTCCACAATTGGTGCCTTATTCAAGAGACTCTTATAACTTACACAGTCTTAATACTGACTCTCTGATATTGAACTCAGATGCCTCACATGAGCTTCCTTCAAGTATCCCAAAGTGGGGGAAAAGAAACACCTGTCTTCTCCAGGCAGACTGGTGATCCCTCCCCCACCCCCACCCCCCCGTGCAATGACCAATGAGCTATTATTTCACCATAGAGGAAGAGGAGAGTTCCACACTGAGGTTGGGGCCAAGAATTGAAGATGCTGGCTTGAAGCACAGATATTGTAAAAGCACAGAATAATTTCCCCAATTTCTCTTTCAGAGAGTCAACCGTAAAGAAAACATCTTTTGTTTCACTGCCATTTGCAAAGGAAACACAAAGATGACAGATTGATCAATGATAGATAGAAGATAGATAGATATAGACAGATAGATGGATAGACAGACAAATAGATAGGTAGATAGATGGAATGAAGAAGGCAGGGTGAGATGAGAAACAAGGTAAGGAAGAAAAAGTGGGAGTGAGGGAGAGAGAGAGGGAGGAAGAGAGAGAAAGAAGGAAGAAAAAAGGAAGATTTTTCTAAGGGGAAATAATTTTTTTACTCTTCAGAACTTAAAATGGAAATAAGCATAAAATACATTTTAGCAGTTTTGCGATAAGAAATCTTGCTTGCTTATCGATTACACATGTCTCTGAGTGGATATCCACAGGCCCAGGTTTGTGGAGACCCAGTGCAGGCATCGTAAGTCAACATTCCACAGTCTTCTCCCTCCTCCTGCTCTTCTGTTTTTCTGCCCTCTTCTCCAATGTTCTCTAAGACTTAGAGGGAGTGACATAGATGTCCCACTGAGAGCTGGGTCATAACTAAATCAAAAGAAAAGAGGGTGAAAGTGGGAGGCTTATGGGGAGAAGGGGAGATGTCCAGTGGGGGATGGCGATGGGTGTATGATCAGACTGCATTATACACATGTATGAAACTGCAGAAGAGTAAGTTTAATAAAAATGGTTTTCAAGGAATATATTTGATCTACTGCAACTACCCATCAGCAAAACCTATCTATACATACCTGCATATTGCTAGTTATTTATCTGACCCTGAGTGAATGCAGATGGATGATTTCCATAGAAGAGATGACAGTCAAAACACTCCCAACACAAAGGAGAGCAGAAATTAGAAGATGAACTACACTGGTCTGTGGGCTTGGGGCTAAGGCAATAAGAACAGGAATTTCAAAATATAACTAATCCATTGTGGTTATAAATAATTGAGACCAGTAATAATTTAACATTAAAAAAACTATTTTTCTTTTAAAATGTTTTGGGGAGCTGAAGAGAATGGTCCCCGCTCTTCCAGGAGACCTGAGTTCAATCCCCATCACCCATAACAGGCAGCTAACAATCACCTACAACTGCAGGTCTAGAGTATCTGATGTCTTCTTCTGGCTACATGCACACTGGCCCATACACACACACACACACACACACACACACAAATCTTGAAAAATATTCCTAAATGCTTTTGTGTATTTGGATGTTCATGTGTATGTGTGTATGTATGTGGGTGTGTGCACATGACAGCATATGTATTGAGATCAGAGGGCCATTTGCAGGAGTTGGTTCTCTCCTATTGTATGGGTCTCAGGGATCAAAGTCAGGTTATTAGGCTCAGTGGCAGAGGCCATAACAACCTGAGCTATCTCTAGGTCCATGATCAAATTTTAGCAGTATAATAATAATCACAAAAATGTCTTTAGGCAGTATATTAAGTAAAATAAATCCAAAGTAACAGAAAATAATGCCTGCCTGGGATTTTGCAGTAAAGAGAAACAGGGAAAACATGAAGAGATGTGACCAACCAGGCCTTTGTTTGATGGAACCTGGAGGCAAAAGAACCCTCCTGATTGCTCAGTTCTGTTGTTAAGATGAGGTTCTTGTAAAGGGTGATGTTTCTCTGATATCTTTCTCAGCCCATTTATCATCTGTGTATAATAGGGGTACTTATTTTTTTGAGTTAACCTTATATCCTGCCACTTTGCAGAAGGTGTTTATCAGCTGTAGGAGTTCCCTTGTAGAGTTTTTTGGGTCACTTATGTAAACTATCATATGATCTGCAAATAGTGAAAGTTTGACTTCTTCCTTTCCAATTTGTATCCCCTTGATCTCTTTTTGTTGTCTTATGGCTCTGGCTAGAACTTCAAGTACAATGTTGAAGAGATATGGAAAGAGAGGACAGGGAGCTGGGATTGACATGTGAAGCAAACCTGTTTCTAATTTAAATTAAATAAAAAAGAGAGAGAAAAAGAACTTCCCAAAACTGTTTTTACATTAAAAAAAGATGAGGCTCACCTTGAATACAGGTTGTTCACCCACTTTGGGGGCAGTAGATCCAGCCCCAAGTTCCTAGACATGACCAAGAAGCAAACAACATACTCATTTTTGCCCTCTGTATCCAAGCTAACATTGTCTCACTTTTCTTACTGTCAGAGTGCATTTCACATTCTCACAGGGTACTCCCAGTGATCCTTTCCAGATGCACCGAAACCTCCACCCTGCCTATCCCGAGTGCAGATGCCTTGGTTGTTCTTATTATTACTGCATGGGGCCGTGTGCATGTATTTACCCCACACTGTCCCGCAGGTTGCAAGATGAACTATTTAACGGGAAAGGTCTGGAGCCACTGGGCCTGAGAATAGAACTGTCAGTAAATCCAAGTATTCCCATAGTAGGAATAAAATTTTACAGTTAAGTAAGTTATGAAAGTCAGGTGACGAACTCCCTTTCATTATTCAGTGTTTCTCGATTTCATGGCGGCAGAGTAGGAGGCAATTATATTCCACTTGGATTTTCTCTGTGGAGGGGGCAGGGATCTCCCTATCCTGAAACATGTAAAAACAAGTTAAAACCATACCATTTCCTTTGGAAAGAAAAGACTTTTATGAACTGTGACCATTTTCTCAAAGGAGCCAGAAACATGCTTTCAGTCTTCTTATGAAGTTCCCAGATTTCCTCCATGCCTCTAGATCCCTAGGTCCTGCTGAAACACACACGGCACCCTTCCCTTGACCACAGCAGCCACCTGTGATTCTAAAGCACACACTGGCTCATCTCAATTTCACACCTGAAAGTGGAAGTGTCTATACTGTGGCAGTGTATAGAGACAAACTTAAAACAGGCTCAATAAAATGAGACTTGACCTTCGAAGTCATCACCGTGGGCTCTTCAAATTAATTCACAACACCACATTATTGTTCAAGACATTTTTGGAAGTCTGGGCTAGGTTTTTGTCTTTACAAGAAAATTGGTCTCAATTGTAGAGGTCTAGTGGTTGGGGGTTATAGGCTGTTTCTTAGCTTAATTGTTCATATGACAGATCATCATTTTTAGTTTGAGAAGATGGATTTCATTCTCCAAAGACCTGTCACTCAAGGAGGAGGCTCAAAAGAATGTACAGACATCCTTTCCCCAGGGAATTGACTCCAGGACCCCCACAGATATCAAACCTTCAACTATAGCAGAAAATGCTTCAGTGTTTGTCTATATAACCTATGCACATCTAAAGATGACATACTTTAAACCATATCTAGATTACTCACAATAACTACTGCATCATACATTCTGTGAAAATGGTTATAGTTTGTTGTTAATGGCAAGGAAGAAGTCTATGCCTGTTTAACACAGACGCAATTCTAGTTGTGATGTATGCATATATGTTCATGTGTGTGCTGATATTCTTACATAATGGAGACCTGAAGTTGACATATGTCTCTCTCACTTCCTCTCTGTCATATTTTTCAAAACAGTCTCTCACTTAACCTAGAGTTCAACAGTCTGACTAGCCTGTTTGCCAGTGAACTCAAGGTATCCTGCCTTTGGCTCTCCAGTATAGAGGGGCACCATTGCACCCAGAGTTTATGTGGGTCCTGGGGAATCTGAACTCAGGTCCTCAAATTTGAACAACAAGCACTCTCTTGTCTCACCTCCTCTACTCTAGACACAAATTTAAAAGAGAAACTCTCTTCAATACGTGGTTGTTTGAATGGAGTTAGGATTAGAATCCCATGGCTAGATCTTAAAGACCAGTGAACACACTAGCATCCCGAGCTTCTAACTGCATAGACAAACCTCCCAGTATTTACCTGTAAGAAATTTAACTTCTATTACAAGTTTGGAATGAGTGGTTTAAAAAGAAAGACTCCAAAATAACTATGTTGCTCTATAATTTCATAAAAAATGGAACCACACAATTCTAACCATTGCTTTGTGTTAAACCCATTCAAAAACATGATCTTCTCAAAATCCATAGGAAAAGAATTTTGATACAGGAACTCAGTTTCTTGTTTTCTATTTAAAAACTGTAATAAAGAATTGCAACAGAACTCTGTTACAAAATCTCATTAATCAAAGAGAAAAGCTGACCTCATCTAAATGTTTTTTTTCTCTCAAGTACCAAAAGAAAAAGAAAAATTCCACTTACACATATAACCAAATGTTATTTAATATCTTAAAAAGTAACACAATCCAAAATGGATATTTCACACAACACTACATAAACAACATGAACACAATATTACCATATGGAGGGACTTTCAAATATAGACTTACAAAAATCCCTGTCCTTTTTTTTTCCTTTTAAGTTATTATACTAAGCATGACAAGGAATCATCATTTACAATATGGTACACGGACACGATAAAAACCATGTTACAAATGTGCTGTTAGAAATCAGTAACATTAGGGAAGACGTTTCATGAACTGCAGTTATTTCATATGAAATACTATACAATATAAACAGAACATCCATCTTGGATGACCTTTACGGCAACCAGAGACCAAGTCATTTAAAGTGTTTTTTTTTCAGTGCAAAAACATTTTATTCAAGGCAGTCTTGGCTGCAAAACTCCTTCCTAACATACAGTAATTCCCACTTGCACTTCTTAGTTCGTTGTCCCTAGTGTAATCGTCACATTCAGTCACTCAGAGAATGACACCTGCAGAGTCATGATCCCTTGAAATCATGGATGCACAAATTGAATTCCCCTCCAGATAATTGTATCGATGTCACTGCTCTAAGGACTTTTAGTTTGTAGCTGTTGACACTTACATGAAGGCGACCCTAGGGCAGTTTTATTCCTAACTGGCATGCGTGCACAATACTGCACAGTATTCTGTTCTTCCAATGTGGAAACAGTGGTGGTGTAGGTATCTAGGTGGGGGAGGGCAAGGAGGCAGGGAGGGTGATCCTCAGAGGAAAAGGTCGAGTTAGGGATGCCAAGGATGCTATATAATGGATTTCCTGGAGCTGTAGGGGACTGGGGTGGGAGGAGAGCTCGAGTCTCGGGTTTGGTACCTCTTTTGGGCAAGAGCAAGGGAACGGAGGTACCAAGGTCAGGCTTTGGACAGGGAGGTGGGCAGGTGTACAAGGACCTGCCGAACTCTAACCTTCCATTTCTGCCTTTCTAGAACTATTGATGCCTCACTTGGACACACCCTTTTCCTCGTCTAGCAGGGTGTGTGTGTTTACATGCGAAGCCAACCAGGAGCATTTAAATGCCTCTGACTCTGCACACAATCCCAAGAAGGCTTAGTTCCCCTCGAGCTTTGTTGAATTCTAAAGTTAGCGAGTCATCAACTGTCAAGTCTATGGACAGCAGTACAGACTCTGAAGTGTGTATTAGAGAAGCCATCACTGGGGGGGGGGGGGGGCTCTCTGCGTTGTTGATGCAAGACAAGGGAAGGGGACAGATGCCAATCAGAGAGCAGCAGTACCTTTTACAGACACATGCGATTTAATGATAAAATGTCCCATATGTATAATTTATGAATGTATCCTAAAGAAAACTCTACGGGGAAATACCAGTTGTATCATTAATATTAAGACACCTTCTGAGAAGGTTGTGGTGACAGCTGATTGTTTTATATTTCTTGGCAAAGCTCAGATAAGAGCAATCCCTTCCCTGACACTTAACTAGAAAAACAATGCCTCCCATGGCTTTTGCATTCATTTTTCTTGTTTCTAGCTTCCCCCCAAGCCTTACACACAGGCCAAGAAGTCCCTCGCTCACAGGACATTATTGGATGGCTTTGACAATGAGTGGGGCGTAACTGGGTGGGGATGGGCGGGTAAGGAAGCAACCACTTCTGCTTGGGTCCACTGTGGTCAGACACTACACTGCCAGTTGGAACTGGGACTGGCCTGTGGGAATGGAGAAAGCAGGTATCAAAGACCTTCTGTCTCATTATTTGAGAGAACACTTGGAACTGGACCAACCTCCCAGATTTATGAAGCAGGGCTTGATATACTGTAGCGAATGTTACTTAGCTGAGCACTGTGAAGAGTGCTTAAAAATATTTTAAAGTAAAACAAAACAAAATGAAAAACTGTTTCAGCACCTTCCACTGCCTGGAGCAGCCAATGTTCCTGATGATGGGGTTTACAGGAATTACAGAAACCCAATAAGAAACTGTAAACAGGGGTGGATGTCTGGATGGCCTTGAACGGCAATGGCCTTGGTGTGGATTTGTTCATCTCCCAGTTCATAACTCAATACCAGTCATGTGTGCTGAGATGCTGAGATTCCAAACAGCCATAACTCTTTGAATGAAAATGGACAAGGTGTCAAGCTGAATTTGTTTTCTTTATTATTAGCACACATCAGAAAAATAGCATTGTAGTGATTTCTCACAATGGCCTATCAAACAGATAGAAAAAACGTCATTGATAGCTGCCACTGTGTTTCTGGGTGATCTTGAGTCACTCTGTCTGTTTGCCCCTGTCAAGCATGGGTATTTCAAACAGGACCTGCTCTGTAATTGTACATCTAACGCTTCGGAAGCACTGTGAGATCCCCAGATGAGCTGCGCAACATGACCAGTTGTTGGTTGTTAGCGGAAGCTCAGGATGCTACCCCTTCCAAATGGTAAGACATTTCTCAAAAAATGATCGCTATGGTTTTGTGAGAATTATGCCTTTCATTCAAGTTACAAACTTTATCTTCAAGTACACTTTGTGGTGACAAGTGGTAAATTCTGGGTAGAACTTTACAAAGCTGTGTCAATCTGAAAAAAAAAAGGTATTTCTCTATTGACCACCATTCCTGTCTTGATGGCGGATGGAATAGAATTTAAATGTGCATTTTAACAATATTGGTTGAGGTTTTTTTTAAAGACATTTAGGAACAGCTGGTGTTCAGATCACTGCTCCTCCAGATTCCCTTTCGATTTATATTTCCTGAACCTGGATTCTTCAACATCAAAGACACAGGCATTTATTATTTCTACCCAGCTAGTCTCCTTTCAGCTCTTCTAATTTGTTTTCTCTATTGGGTGCACATACACCCACCCCCTTTCACATATTCATTAAGGTCTCCTGAGATGTGCAAAACGTATCAAATGGTTTACAAATTCATTTAACAGACATCTCAGAATGCATGGCACAGCTCTCTTAGTAAAAGGAAAGTTTGGCTCCATAGGGTAGCATAGGATAAAGGCAGAGAGGCCCAAAGTGCTTCAAGTTGGCAGTTCAGATTTCTCACATCTTTTGTTACTGAAAAATACCTAGCAATCCAATCTAGTTTCTATAGGAATTAATAAATTTTCAAATGCTTATCAAGCAGCTCTTTGCCAAAGAGGACCTTTCTTCCTTTCTTTCCTTTTTTTTTTTTTGTAGCAGGAATGGAGGAGTGGGAAGACAATAATTTTACAGCGTTCATTCATTTGTAACAAATCAAATGTGCTTTCATGGGGGGAGGGGATGAGAGAGAGAAAGAAAACCCATGGCAGCGAGAAAGTCATGAGTCTAATGGGCAAGTCACCGACACACACAGAACGCCATGGCCTACTGCCGAAGCATGTTTGCAACATCGCTTTTCTGAAGAACACACTTGAACACACTGCTGCCATTTCATCAGATTCATGGAGGTAGTTATATGTAAAAATAAAAATTACCATAAAGTGATATGCTGTATCATAATAATACATATAAGTGTGCAAAATGCCGACAGATGTGTTGACCCTTTAGAGTTGAATGCCTCACGGAGATTCAACCAGATTCAGTTTTGTAAACCTTTCCATTGATAAATTCTAAGACTAGACATGCAGTCATGTAACACAAAGCTATGGTTCCAGTGGAGAAGAATATTGGCAAAGCCTGGGAAGGGCCTCAAGGCTTGGGGCATCAAGAGTCTCATCATCTGGATGAGACCATCTTAGACACATGTACTTGTCATATCTGTCATGTGCTTCCCGCCACCAATGTTCCTCCATTCAAGAATCCAGATTAGATTCAGACAAGAGTGTTTCTCCATGGAATATCTTTTCATGTGGCGGACCATCTGTGAAGTCCACCATTCTATGCTAATGGATGCTGGTCTAAGGGAGGTTCTTTTTTTAATTTCTCTTTTTAGTCATGTACCCCATAGTAACTAGGCAAATAGCGTACAGTTGAATAATGTCTTCTGTAAACCTATTTCTTGTCAACTATCAAAAATTCATCTTTTAAAGCTTCTCTTGAACATAATTATGTCCTTTCCTGCCCACATAGCACTAGATTCTTTCAATGGCTGCTTTCAGAGGTCTATCAGAGACTATGTATTGTTTTAGCGGTCCTATTATTAACGAACTGAGTATGCCAAAAATTTGAGAGCAGCTCTTTTGGAAAACAATTTAGAAAAACCAAATCTAGGAATCGTATGGTATACAGCTCCTCAAGCAAACAGACTATGTAGAATACCAGATACATGGCTGTTCTTTCTGGATGTACTTAAGAAATGAGATAAACAATGTGTTTTTTAATAACTGAGGCATGCCTGGGAGGAAATAAGGTATGAGATTCAAACCCAACTGGCTTAAGCTTTCGATGATGTAGAGTATACGAAGAACTGTGCTTGAGTTTCACTACACTATAACAAAAGTGATTTGTTATACCAAATTTGAGGAGCCCAATGCAACTTCCAAATAGCAGGCAAAATGTGAGAACATACACATTTCCAACTAGATCATATGACTGTGTTTTCTGAAACACATTGCTCGTTATTAAACCTAACATGGAAAAAGAAATCTCTCACAGATTTATGCTCATCACTGAAATCTTGGGTGAAAATAATCTGATAGTGATTTTAAGTTATTTATGAATTCACTTGTGATCCATGGCTCCAAAAAGCATCTGACACTAAACTAAATAAAACTTCATTTCAGACCATCTACTGGGATCAGAGGTAACCCTTGTAGAAATGGTCTTCCAGTACCTACAGCTGTAGGAATCCTATGGTATACAGCTTCTTCTGCGTATATTTCTTCTGAACTCTGCCTTTCCTGTAGGACTGAAGTGTATTGGTTAGTGGTCCCCTGCTTTGGAGCCTTCTGATACTGAGCATGACATTGTAAACCAAAGCAGAGTGTGAAGAAATCTTTTTAAAAGATATTGAATAAGTGATCACACAATCCACCTACAACATGCCTCCTGAAATTGTTACAAAGTATCTGTAAACATTACTCTGGCATAGTTCATGTATGCATAATTGTCATTTTGATAAATTTTAGGGGAGTACAAATTAAGGACATGCCATACCAGCAGAATGTGGATACTCTGCTGTTTATTATATGGGCCCATGAATAGTTCTAATCAAAAATTACTTTAAAGGTTTTCTCTACAGATATCTTCCCAGGAATAAAAGGCCTGAAGTTTAACTCTCCCTAAATTTGCTCTTTCCTACAACCACTAAAAATTATCTCCCACAGCCTAATTTAGGCATTCTATTTAAAACTACATAAAATAGATTTATGTCCCTTCCATTAGAAAGAATAACACCCTCAGGCCACATTCTTCATTTGTAGCATAAAGAACATTTTGCTTCCAAACAAACTAATCACTGCATCTACTCTAGTAGATAGCTCATCCCAAGTGTCACAAGGAGGATGGTATTCTTCTTCAGTATCTGATCCAACCCTCCCCAAAATCCACACAACCTTCTCCATCACTCAGTGCTGTGCCCCAGAGAGACCGATTTCCCTTCCTTTGTCCACTTCAAAGGCCTATATTCCTGTTCGTGATTACGGAAGGTTAAACAACTCAAGACAAGCATCGAGTGTGTTAGAAAACAGAATGCTGAAAACACTCTAAGGACTTCCATCGGGGCCCTTACTGACACGCTTCCATGGGCTCCTGTGAGAGTGTCATGAAAACTCACAGTGAAAAATGGCTGGCGTTTAAAGGACTCACACACAAAGGGCTGGGGTCCCTTCTGCTCAGTTTGGCATCAATTTCTCTCACGATGGACACCCTTACATTTACATTTTGTGATGACTTGGCTTTTTTTGGGGGGAGGCAGTTGTCAAGGATTAGTTCCTTGGCCCCATTCCCCTTAGGCTGGGAGCAACACACATCTGTGGCATTTCAAATGGCATTGGCGACTGCATGACATTGAAAAATGCATGTTCCACTTACAGTGTTTAGACTTTCCTATGTGTGCTCAGATAGTGAAGCAAAAGTATACACATCTCCCCTACTGCTATTCGGTTGCTACAGAGCCATAAATGTGAAAGCAATACTCTGAAACGAAGATTTTTTTTGCCCTACCCTACTTAGCAGCACAGCTCAAGTGATCCCCCAAGCTGTGCTTGAGATGTTTGTCTTTGCAGAGATGTAAACATCAGTCCCAATCGTGGTAAACGTTGCTGTATCAAACGAGACAGAAGATCTGAGGCAGAAGGACAATCATACACTAGTAACAGAAGCTTGCAAGCAGTTGGAAGGTTTCTGTAGCTTCTCAGCTTCGTTGGTCGGGGCATCAGTACTTGCACGGAAGTTGAAGTTTGGACCAGCTCCGCCATGGGCCGGACTCAAAGCAGGGTTCTGTCGGCGGTTGCTTTCAACAATGCTTGATGTGTTGGAAGCCAGGCTCTCCCGAGTGCTAAAAGAGTAAAAAGCGTTGGTTTTGGTTTTGCTTTGAACATAAACAATTACACACTGAGCCCCCAGAAGAAGGACAAATGACAGAGCTAA